TTTTTTTAGCAATAGCAATACTTGAGTTATGAGATTGGGTAATTGGAAATAATTATACAAATGTCATCTTGAAAATAAAAATGAGAATGTCTATGGAATAACACTAGCCTTGGGCCTAAACTACCCTAATATCTGACATTGAGGAAACTGATTGGATTGTATGCTGTGTTAGTTCACCCCCTAGTGGTCAACCATAAGACTTCAATTTGGTCACCAATGCGTCCAACCAATCAGTTTAACATGTTAAGGTTTACATAAGCTAAGGCCTATAGGACAGAAAAACAGAAGACAATTTAGGAATAAGGATATTATTTTTCCTGAGGGAACATTCTTAAAAATGCTTACCTGCTTTGTTTCTTCTGTTTTATCTTTCTGCTTGTGAACTTTTAGGTAAGACCTCTGGTTATGTGTATTGATACCAAGAGTTGCTTTGTTACGTTCCACAATGTCTTCCCTAGCTCTCACTGGCCTTGGATTAGAAGGATGTCGTGAGCTTCTCTTCCTATGAGGAACTGGTCTGACATTCAGATGCTCTCCATTATCCAGTGGTATGCCTTCAGAGGACATGCAAGAACGTTTTGATTCGGGGGGATCGAGAATGTCTTCCTGTTGTGGGTGCAGGTGGAAAGGAGACGAAGGTGGCGGGGATAAAACATTGTCCATCTGAACTGTGGGTGGATTACTGACAACGACATATTTTTGCTTGCTACTTAGAGGCACATTCTCCAAAGGTTCAAGACTATCTTCAGACTCCTGAAACGAGTCGAGAGAAAGTCTCGCATTTAGCTGGTTGAGAAAATGAGCCCCTTCCAGATTCTTCCTCCAGTTTGGGTTGTAGCGCAAGTCGGCGTATTCATCTTCAGGGGGAGCTTGCCTGAAATATTTCAAAAAGAGTTAAGAAGAAATAAGTCATACACACTTAGGACGAGCTTTCAGTTGAAGAGCAGGCTAGCTACGTCTCATTTAGTGCTTTCGGCATTGTCAGTAAGGCAGTCTGAATGCCTCAAACAGCCATCAAAACACAAGGAAAAAAATTGGCTACAATTCTCAGCCGAAGCGAAATGGTAATAGCGTGTTGTATTCACACCCCCCCCACCCCACCCCTAATGACTATGGGTCTGAAGACCACAATTTGGGGATAGTTTTGCAAATGGCTAATTCAAACATATGAAATAGGTTCAAACTACAACCTAATGTGCTCCTAGCATCATTGGATGAAAAGATCTCATTAAAATAATTAGAAGAGTGCCTCTTTGTTGTGTGCCTCTGAATAGTACAAGATGCTCTTCACATCCCATGATGC